TTTAAAGATTATATTTCTCCCAAAGGATTATTAGCAATAGCTACCCAAGAGATCTGCCTCTGTCCCTTTCTTGATTGAATTTTGCCACACAATGCAAAAATATATTGAACTACATTCAGCAAGTGTATCTCAAATCTGGAGATCAAAAGAAAATGGTGGGTTTAAGTATTTTTCTGGTTAAAATCTCAACAGAACATGGCACAAGGTGCAGAAAACAGAATGCTATATTGAAGATTATACCTTGCAGTGACGTGATACAGGCAAATATCAAAGCCCAAATCTGTCATACCTTTAAGTATGTGCCCTCTGCTCACCCAGATGTTTTTGTAGATATGCTCACATAAATCCCTTCATAACAGAGTAGAAAGATTCCTAACTTCATTGTGCCTCTGTGAAAATCTTGAGTAGATGTATATATATATATAAATATTTTATAAAATACGTAGAGTCTCATACACAAGTATTAATTCCTCTAGGAATAGCAAAATAGGTTGGCGAGAGAGCAGGGGAGGAGGAGAAGACATGTGAAAAGTTGAAGTGTGCTTAAACTGTTGTAGATCTTTCAACACTCTACAGTTCTTCAGCAAGAATTCATTCCCATGAAAAAGTGCCCCGACAACCAAGCACCTGAATCTCTCTCAGAAAAGGTCAGTTTTCCGGCCTGATAGCAATCCCCATCCTCAAATTTATTACTGTGATCTGTCCTCTTAATTTTTTCTAAAACAGAAAAACCCTCTCACTAAAGAGTATGTTTTCAAGCTGGATGTCCCTAGGCTTTCCCTAGGCTGGACTCCTCTTACAGACCTTGGCTAAACAGCCTCTGGTCTACTAGTCAGCCCTTTTTCAGGTTTTCCTGTTTTGCTTTGGACACCGGCATGGTGTAACTGCTATATGATTGGCAACAGCTGAACTGATGCACCAAACTGTCATGTCTGACCAAGTTTAACTCCTGGCACTGCTGACATATGCTGTCCAAACTCTTTCTAGCAGATACTGATCCCTTCTTTTAGGGGCTATTTATCATTTCTTACGTGATATTGGGAACTGAAAGCTGAGGATCACAAAGCACATCAGTGCTGGGGCAAGAAAGAGCACCTTCTGCTCTGCTCCCCCACCTTGATCCTCAGACCTGTTCAGCCATTCCTAGAAAATACCTTTTCTACAAAAATAATTTTTGCTAAAAGAAACCAAAACCTTCCTCACTTCATAATTCTTAACACATCAATACTGGTCTAAGGCATCAGGATAGGAAAACACTAAACAGAAGAAATACAGTTCTGTTTAGCTCCAACGCAGCTAACAGATACTTGCAGAGCAAGGACCTTTAAATGCTGGTTGAAACCAAAAATAAAAGTCCTTTACATATACTGAGAAATGTGATAGAATGCTAGACGTCAAGAGTGGAGTACTGGAGAGTGCAGGGATGTCCTGCTTGAGGCCAGAGGCTGGCTTCACCAAGTAACACCAAGCTACTGCCTCACAACAGCCATCCATGTTGCTACTGCTTCTGCAAAATGCTTTACTTCTTGGTCAAAAGACAACACAATTGCCCAATTTTCTCTAGACCATCTTCAAGCAAAGAGTATCAAAATTTGTTTGAGGGCTTGAGGACTGCAATTTTATCAGTATTGAGTGAGGACAAAATATTTGCTTTTTTTCATCTTAAAACACTCCATTTGTAAATATCTCATCAAATTCTCCTAAACTGGGAGACAAATATCTGAAGATAAAAAAAATCCCCCCCAAACTAATTTTCCAGTTTTTCTTCAATAGGAATATAACAGAAAACCATTTTTTCTCTGTTTTCACAGCCTTTTGCACTTAAATTTAATTAATGGTCATAAATTCCAAGAAATACTTTCTCCAAAGCATCCTTTAAGAGACCTCACTTCTTACACAGTTTATTTATTGCATGGGGATTTATCCAAGGTGGAGTCAATAACACTGCAGCTACCTACTCATCTAATCCCTTGCCCAAGCACACTCAGCAGAGCATGCCAGAATTTGGTTGATAATTCCACTTGCAAGGAACCTGCCCTGTCCCACCGCAGCAAAGGCTGAGCAAAACCTTCCCTGCAACTGCTCCTGTGGCACCTGAACAAAAGCAGGAGGCCCATCTCTCCCATGACCTTTCCTTTTTGTTGGCATACAGACACAAAACTGTATTCATGTAAGGCATTAAAACTTTGAAATTAAAGGGGAAAAAAAATTAACCAACTTAAAATAGAGATAGTCTTTATCTTCCCCAAAACAATATGGAAGTAAAAAAATAAAGGAAAGCTGTTATTAAAAAGGGCAGGCTTAGAGTTAAAAAGTCATAGGTAGAGTAAATGAAAAATTTCAAGATTCCTGTACAGGAATGGGATTAACATGGACAGGACAGAGAAATCAAAAGTATCACAACCCAAGAACCTAAAATTAAATTAAGACTAAGATTACATGCCACAAGTGTATGGTTTAAAGGCTGAAATAAATTGTAAACCATAAAGTTTTAGTTCCAAATAAATTCCCTTTTCATTTTGGAAAAAAACAGCATACATTAAGAATAACATGCAAGGCCCTGTCCAGCCAGCAACAAGGCACAACCAACAAGACAAGAAGAATTATACTAAAGCAGAGAAGCAAAAGTCATAATTGATGAATTATTATTTAATTTTTAGAACAAGAAAATAAATTGCCAGTTTGGTCATGTCAGACTTGGAGGGCTGTGTACTAGTGGAAGATAGTAAGCAGTACTCAGTAATCCAAGGAGTTTATAATGTGAGACACACACAGTTAATAAAACAAACAAGGGGAACAAAGCAGGTAGATGTGGAACAACAAATTATGACCAGAGCTGCTTTGAAGTGACTGGCTGTTCATAACTGTTGATTTAGCCCTTTTCTCCAGCTGCTAAACTGCATTGATACAGCTAAAAATACCTTTTCTGCTTTTTTGGCTCTCCTTATTGCATTCTCTTAAGAAAACACAATTGCCAAAGAACTTGCGTATGACAGAGTAAGCAGGTCACAAGCCACATTCTGAAAGCACTAGTGAAAACGCAAATGTTTTTGAACTCCTGATTAAGGCAACATATATTTTCTAAACCAGCTTCTGTTTCAATAGTTTTTGTGTTTTACCATTTCCTTTTTTTTTTTTTTTTTTCCTTCTTCTCCCTTGTGTGTCTCCTAGGAGCTGCTTGAGTCATATCCCACACAGACTATGGAGAGCTTCAGCTACTCTGGCTTCATCTCTAAGATTCTGTGAAGCAGCGAGTGTTCTTAATTAATTCCTCAGACACCCAGCATACGGAAACTGCCACCTTTATCTACTGTCTACTGCTCCCTTCTACTTCCAGGCGTGAACGGCCCAGCTCCAAGCTGGCAGCCTTTCCCAGCAAAAGCATTTTCCCTGAAATGAGCCCCACTGAAAATGACAGGACTCAGCTGCACACAGTGCTGGCAAAAATAGCCTCTAAACAAGAGAAAAAAGCCCAACGGCTTTCATCATGGAGACATGTCAGCTCCTGAGGCTTGCACTTTCTTGCAGCCAGCGATCTTCAGGAATAAAATTAAGTAATAGCAGGCTTGCACAGTCGGTACTTTCACAGAAAGCATATGCCTATCTTACACTAGACCAGGACTAGTAAGTCAGCTTTCCAAGTGCTAGTGTTGCACTGAAGCGAGGCAGAGATGCATCAAACTGTGGTTTTATCTCAGGCAGTGAGGTTCCATGTGTAACCCATACTGTACCCATGGACACACACCCCACACACGGAGAGATGATTTCTCAGTGGAGATCAACTTCATTTGTTTTCCAGCAGGAAAAAGAGATTCATTTGCTTGGCAAAGAAAAGGATTGGAGATGTATCAGCAAGAAGATCCTTTTGAAAGGAATGGGTTTATTTCTCCAGTTGGTGAATAACATGACATTGAGTTTTGGGGTTTTTTTAATTTCTTAAAAAGACGCAAAATCTACAAGCAGCATTTACAAATGCGATACAGCCTGATTTGATCAATGTTTTCTCCCTGTAATAAGATGTTTGTTAATCATTCATTCCATAATTTTCCTAAAATGCTTGCTCAATACACTAAAAAGTATGCATCTCTATACATTCAATTACATGCAGAAAATTTCTGTTGCTTGATTGGGGAGTCATGATGCCAACAGCTCTCATAGCTTGCCATCTCTGAAGACAGAATCATACTTAATAGTTAGTATAACTAGGCTTTTCATCTTAAACTGTAATTACTTTCCACTTCAGAACTACAGAATGAATCATCTTCCTATACTTTAGTCTCGCAGTGCACGGCCAGCTTGCAAAAATCGGACAAAGAACATTATCAATTTTCTCAAGGGAGTAAGATATTTGCTAACTGCCAAGAAAAAAAAAAAACATGTAACATAACGAGATGCAGCTTCAGAAATGACACACATTACTCTGTCCATATTTTGGAAAATCACTGCAGCTGAATGGCGTCTCAGTTTATCACAAACCAAGCAACATGAAAAACTAGAACAGACTCTAGGAAATAGTAATGTACATATAAAGAAAAGGATAGCAAAGGCTTTATTTGTGGGTCGAACAAGGGGAAGGAATAAACTTCAATGTAAATACTTGCTCTTTAAAGAAAAGGTTCAGCAGAAACAGGTTCAAATGAGATTTGACAAAAATACTTTCTTACTACCTGCACAATACAAATGTGACCAAGTACTCAGAGAAAAAAAAAAAAATGGCATCAGCATCACAGCTGAAACCACAACTCACTTGATAAACAGAATAAAGAAGCTGCTGTTCCAAAAAGCTTCCATGCTTTTTATACATTTATACACACACAAACATACATACACATACATATTCATGCTTTCTCAGTATCCTTCCTCAGCAAGTCATTATAACCACATCAAAGTAAGGGAGTAAGAAAATCACAACATTGTTTATTAAAGAAAGGAAGGGAAGAATTAAAAAACAGTTTCAAGCCCACAATCAGTAGCTTGATCAAAACAACAAAAATCCTTACCTGTGCATTCTTATTCCTGGCTTCTCTCCTTGCTGCTTTTTCTTTTAGCCTTTTCTCCTAAAACAAACAAGATGCACAGTTTTAAAGCAAACTCCTGGGGTTCTTTTGCTTTTAATATTTTAATTTTAAAGTTGAGCCACATAGATATTTTTAATGCACACATGCTACACTGGTGGTATTCACCCTATATGTTACTGATGAAAAATGATAAATTAAAAGATCTGATTGAGATATTAGTCGTTCTTCTTGCTCTTAAAGAAAATAAAACCACAAGAATGATTCAAACTCACATTTTATCTTCACCAAGACCTGTTAGTCTTAAGGAATGATGTCCCTAAGTATTTTGACAATGTTAGTATTTGTCTCTAAAACAAAGTAGATTTTAAAATGGCACCAAAAGATCCAACTTTTCTTATTTCTCAGTGGCTTAATATGAAATCCAATCCATTTAACAAACTAAAATGATAATTTTCCTAACTTCAGAATTGCTAAAACGTGTTCTCCTTAGCTTTTGTACCTCAATTAAAACATCCAGGCATACATAACAAACACTCTATAATAGCATTTGCTTAGTAATTGCATCAATTCAGAAATCATAACATTAAGTTCCCTCCACCAAACGGATTCTGCTATGGGAAGATGAGCAAAACGTAATGATAAAATTCATCAAAGATGCCTGCCAGATTTCTAGGCATACAAAAGTGGCCAAGATATTTAATTCAATTGACATTTATTGTTGATTTTTGTTATTTATATTATTCTTACTGGGACTGGTTTATTTTTAAACCAACTGAAGGATTATCTCTAATTTAGACTCTGTCAGGTTCTTACAATTAAACATCCTTTAAATTACCTATTTCATGAGGTAAGGACAGAAATGCAGGTGAGGGCACATGTCCCTTAGAAAAGCACACCACTCCCTCTTTTTCTTTTGTCTTAGTGATGCTGATGACATCAGTGTTGAAACTTTTTTATACTAGCATAAAAATATTTCTGGAATACAACTCTGTTTCTTTGAGAGACATAGGCCATTCCTATCATCAGCACATTTGGCACCAAGTCCACATAAAAGGGCTTTACTTTACTTTAACATAAGTCCAAGGGCAACACCTCAGCACAGAGAAGGGTGAAGACCAGTTGCATTTCAGCTCACTTGTGGGAGCAACAAGAAAGCTACAGCTCCAGCAGTCCTGGTGCTGTATCATCACAACGATGCTACCAAAGCATATTGGTAGGTACCACACAAAGTTGTTTGGAAAATCAGTGTGTTTGAGTGCAGACCTGGGAAAAGGAGAACACAGCTGCAACGATCTACAAAATTGGTGTGTAAATTCAGTTCTTTTGAGCCATTTGTCCGATACGTGACATCTTCTATTCTTCCAATTGTCCAAACTACAGAAGTGCTAGTTTACTTGCAAACTCTCTTTCTGAGAAAGTCAACTTCTCTCCAAATCAAAACTAAACAGATCAAGCTCATGCCCCCACAAAAGGCAGAGACAAAGCTGCATGAGGTGTGTGTCTCTCTGCTTTACACAGTTCTCCAATGCTGTGTGCAAAGCTGTCTGGTACAAACACCTCAGTGCACAGAGCGCCAGAGCATTCAACACATACTATGAAGCAAAACAAAAATCCCACCACTGTACACAGATATAACACAGCTTATTATTTCAGGTTTGTTAAAGTAAGGGAAAAGCAATAAAAAGCTATAAAAAGTAATAATTATATGGAGCAAAAGAGCCACCAGGTCCAAGTACTGTCTGGTACAGACACAAGCAGTCTGCCCTCCAACAAGCTAGAGCTAAGTATCATGACCTCATTGTCATAACATGGTCATCCATGTTAGACGACTCCTCTTCCAAGTCAAATTTGTATTAATTTCTGATATATTTTACTTTTGCTTTTCTAATGATTTTACCCATTTACTTTCACTCACTCTGTTTTTAAATGGTTTAATTGTGCATTATTTGCTCTTTGGGGTCACCATTGGGGTTCTCTCATTCTTCTGCTAAAACTGTGATCTTTTTCAAACTTTACCACCGAAAAAGTGAGAGAACTAGAAAGTAACACACGAGATATTACAAAGACAGATAAAGCAGCTTTTAAACTGGATAGTCCATAACATTTTACATAGAAAAATTCTACAGTGTATGAAAATATAGTGTCTTAACTATAGTCATAGGCTTAAGCCAATATAGCAGCAAAGTTCCTGCTCAAGGCATTTACAACAGAACACAGAAGAGACAGCAATGGAAGTGGGGAATTGACATAACACCACAGAAGAGCACATCTACCTTCCACAAAAACCACATCTACTACACAGCTACTTTCCACAAAAGCAGACTGGTTAGCATTATATTCCTTTCACTTAGTTCTTCATTAATGGTAGGAGGCTCAGAGGCCTTTTTGATCAGCTCTTTAAAAATTTCCTGCAAATTATCTTTTTCTTCTCCACAATTACACATGTAATTAACAAGGATGGTTAATAGGCTTGGTAGCCACAGGGATGAAAGTTTTTAGTCATCATCATCTAAGATGACTAAACCATTTGGCTTTCAACTAAACAAAGGAGAGTTACGGTTATTGAAACCTTCTAACTTTCATCCTCTAGAACTGACAACAGAACCAGCTCTGCCTAACAAGGAGCCAAAGCCACAGATAAAGTAGCTTCTAATACATGGAAAAGCTACTCACTAGTCTGAATTTAAGAAGTCTGCCACTGTCTTCATCTCATATTTCATCTCTTTCACTGTTGGGTTTTAAACCAAAAACTCATAACCATTTTACTTTTTCTCAATACTCCACAATATAATTTTAAAAAGACTTATTCTAACACATTCCATATTCTCATGTTGAGGCAAAAAAAGGGGAAAAATAATAGTAGCATGGCAGCTCTCTATAGTTAGTAAGGTTAGAAATATGTGAAAGATGCAGACAGTTTAAAAGCCAAGTTTTTAGTTATAAAAAAACTAAATCCAGCAATTTTGAAAGCTTGAAGTTCTTTCCTGCCCTGCTCTGACACCCCCACCCCACCCCCCCCAAAATCTCCTCTTCCTTTGACTCTCTTCATTCTACAGTTGATTAGGAATTCATTTTACTTTGCCCAGAGGCTTAACTGCAATATTAAAAAAATACAAGGTTTATTGCCATGTATTATTAACAGCTTTGTTTCATATAGTAATTTTTCTTTCAGCTTTTTAATTTGTAAACAATTTGTACAAGAAAAGTAGTCTTTCTTTCTCTTAAAAAAACTGTGCCTAGAGTTACATTAAATATATTCCTTTATTATGCGACTTACTACAGTTTTACCAGCCTAAAATTTCACTGTCGTCTTCTATTTGCTTACTTAGAGGCAAATAGTTTCACTCAATCCAACTAAAGCAAACTATCTCCTGTAAAAATTTCATGTGCATCTGAGTCATCTGATTTCTTTTTATTTAAGTGCTCAAGAACTCCTGCAGGTTTTGATCAAAGATTTTAATAATGAGTTTTAATAACTGATCCTTTATATACTGATGCTGTGATTTGGAGCTACCAACCTATTCTGTTTAACATCTGAGGTAATGGTCTACCACACCACACATCTTAGAGTGGCCAAGGTCTGGAACAAATCACTCAGTTGCCTGGAAAAATCTGGCTGTCATTTGCAAATACATCTTAGTTGATACCAGTACCTGATATAATTTCTCAGTATTTTACTGTCTCTTCTTATTTTAGTAGGACATAGTTAAGGACAGTCAGCTGTGCTGCAGAAAATACACAAACAGCTGTTCAAAAGTTCATAGCATCTCTCATATACTGGCATTGTCATATTCAAGAGCTGGTTTCAGACCACAAATGTGCTCTGAGAAGTTACTTTAATAAATGGCCCTGTGGTATGCCACATTTGTCTCCTCTCAGATTTCACAGCAAGTTTGTGCCACTTACATGCAAAACATAGTTTTATTATTATTTTTAACTGCTCATCTTGCAAGAAACGGTATCTGAAAATCCAGCTGTAACAAATACAGCACCAGCCCATAAAGCTACACAATCAGCACACATGAGCCAACACAGAATCAAACTGTGTCCTCTTCTGTGTGGTTTTGCTCTGCACAGGTGAATGGAATTAAAACTAGAATTACTGATAACTATTTATTAATTATTTTAAAATAAACAGAATGGGGGAGTACTGAATACAAGTTTAATAAGAAAATTCTGTTTCAGCAGTCTCTTTTTGGCCATGGCTACATTTTGTATTGCTATGTAGTTTAACATTTGTCTTCTTATAGAGATTAGCAAATCATCTATATGCAAGCAATGCTCCAACCACCAAAACAAACTAAAACTCCCAACTGAAACATAAAACTGAATCAACTTATTAATATTTCTTCGATTATTATTTTCTTTAAAAAAATCTGGAAACTAAGTATGAAGTTGGTTACTATTAAATAAACAAATCTTAATGTCTCGAGGAAAAAAAGCAAAAGCTTTTTGATTATTTTGTGTTTGGTTTTGGGTTTCTTTCATCTCAACATTTGGTTTTAGAAATCTATCCAATATTCTTTTCAAGCAACAGACTATATAAACATAACAATGTAAACCTCATCTGCAGAGATGATGCTAGAGTTGATGTTTACTTTATAGGTAGGGAAACTGAAACACATAGGTCTAGTATGACCTATTTAAGACAACACAGGAAAAGCATGGCATCAAAGGCATCTGAAAGACAGCACAGTGACAACCTTAAACTCTGAACAAGCACTTAGACACAGTTGGAAAAAAGACATTCTCATTTAAAGAAAACATCAACTAACAGAAACTGAGCCTTAAAAGGACACTTTTAGAATAAAACCAACACAGGAAACAAGTGGAGAAAACGGAAAATTATTCCTGTGTCATTTTAACATCTGAACACACTGAACATGTTTTAAGGATAGAAAAATTTAGCATTCAGTATTCAGCAGTGCCCAAGTCCTCAGCAAGTGAAGGGTGCAGCTCCTGTCAGAAGCTGTTAAGTTACCTCAAAGAGCCATGACAGGTAGAGGTCTGCATTTTGGGCAGCTGTGCCATTACATCCT